ACCATAATATGAAAAATTAAAAATATTAGTAGGTTACTTTACCATACTACTGATATAGTAGATCTACAGATATAAAAAAATGGGTACAGTAGTAGTCGTGAATTCAATAGAAATGCAGAGCCGCAGGTTATTTTAAATACGTATGGATGAAATCCGTTTTCTGATCGTATTTGACAGCCGCCGTAGTGCATTGAGTATGTGTATAAATTGACATAGATCCTACACGTGGCGAATCTAGATATTTGGGCTATTCTAATAATAAACCAATATATAGAGAAGAACACTGCGTTTTCTCCCTCTACCCTGCGAAGGAAACTGTCAAAACAAAACTCGTTCAAATATTATCATAGTTTTATTAGTATTGTAAAATTGGATTGATCATTAGAATTCTTAATTAGGTTCTTTATTTTGTCTAAGTTACTATTTTTCTTACCTATATCACACATAACATAATACTGTACTAGTACCTATATGGGTTTATATTACATTTAATGAAGTGTAAGAAATACGAACAATATTTTCAGGTGAGCAATATTCAAGAGAATACCTACAACCTACATTTTAATTAAAATATAACTGTGATACCGTTTTATTTTCGAATAATATTTTTCTTGCATTTTTACAGTTGTAATGGAGTTTGCTCGGCTTCACATAGTATAATGCATTAGCAAATATACTTCTATGATTTAAATTTATATGGAGTATGCATACTCAAATCCGTTAACCTTTTCAACATTCGTCAAACCTTACGTTGAGACGTTTTACTTATACTTTGTGGTACTTTACTTAGAAAGATCGCATTCGACAGAATTTTCATTCATTTTAAATATTATTTTTTGTTACAAATTTAAATCGTTCAGACGTATACTAGAAACCTAGAATGTGTACTGCGTATGTTTTTAATTACCCGTCTGCGGCGAAGCCCAAAGGAAGCTTATGTGTTTGACTTGTATGTATGTACATATATAGATACATACATACAATACATACATACAATACATACATACAATACATACATATATATGTCCAACCCTATGTTACATCGTAATTACAAAACGGCTAAACAGATTTTGATGCAGATGATATATGCTTCTTAAGCCGCATTCGCGCAGACATGCAGACTAAATTGGACGATATACAAAAGGAGGCATCAAATACAGGGCTCAAAATTAATGCAAGGAAGACCCAGGAGATGAGATGCAGAACAACGAGTACATTCCCGTTGGTCATCGGCACAAATTCACATATCTCGGGAGTTGCGTGTCGGAAACAGGAAGTACTGAAGAGGACATCACTGAGGACCGCCAAAGCACGAGCAACCTTCGCACAACTTCGGCCCGTATGACAATCACGGAAACTGACACGGAGAATCAAGTTCAAAATCTTCGGTCCAACGTGAAGATCGTACTGCTATACGGGTGCGAGACGTGGAAGGTCACCAAGAACATCTCGCAGAAACTCCAAGTCTTCGTGAACCGATGCCTTTGCAAAATTCTCGGTATTTACTGACCCAGCAAAATTTCCAACCAGCGCCTTTGGGAACGCTGCAATGAAGTCCCCATCACTCAACAGATCAAACGCCGTAAATGGAGCTGAGCTGGAGGAGTCCAAACCATATACTAAAGCAAGTCCTAGACTGGAATCCCCAAGGAAAATGCAAACGTGGCCGTCCAAAATGTCATCGGGAAAACCTGGAGCGAAATCAAACGCGTAGCTCAAGACCATCAAAACAATGTAGTAGAAAATTATAGTTCTTTAAAAGGCCTACAAAAAAGTCGAAGGCATGTGTCTATCTCCTAAGGCGTCGCGTTCACAATAACTATTTTTATCTATATAAAACATATGTGCCTAAAGACGCCCCCGAGCGAAGCGAGGGTAGATAAAACGCTTGTACGTAATATAATAAAAAGATAATAAATATCTTAAAATTTCTTTTAAAATAATTATATTATCATATTTTTTGTAATTTAATAGACTCTCAGCAGAAAATCACATTTATTAAGTTATTTTTATCTGCTTCTCTTTTTGAGTATTTCTCGAGAGCCAATGGATAGATTAGTAGATTAGCTATTGTTTATTATTTTAGAAGCAATTGTTAAAATACATAGCCAAAATTAATTTCAGCAGGTCTACTGTAGGCCAGATATTAAAGAGTTATACCTTCTCTTATAAATCATCATATATATTAGTTTCAGATTAAAAGAAATACTATATGCCAATAATGACACCACTATTCTATACTTATACCTAAATAATTCAGTTTATCTAAGATTTCAAAACCGCTACCCTTTATTGAATTCATGTTTATTTCATGATATCAAAGCCGTAGGCCAAAACCAACAAAGTCTTCAAACGGTTACCTGCTTAAACGTAAGATTAATTTTAGTTTATCTGCTACGGAAACGTAAAAATATCTACTACGGAAAACTTTTTATTTATTAAAAAGAAATTCTTTTATGATTCCGAGGGACCAACCAAGGCGATAGTTTAAATTTTTCAAACTTTAGTGTGAATTCTGTTTGGTTGCCCATAACTTTTTTAATTAAAATATTTTCGTTAGGTTAATGATTTCATTTTCAGACTGCTTTATTGTGAGAAGATTGTAATGAATATGATGATAATGATGTTCTCCTAGCCGATTCCGGCTACGGCGGGCAATCTCATTGAGACTAGCCAACTGCGCAGGAGATATTATAGTGCACAAGTGTGCGCGCAGACACAAGTGCACTCTCTATCCCTGTCACTCTCATACTCCGGTGGGACGACTGCTCGACACGACCAGTGAGAGTTAAGGCGCAGGACCGACGGCTTTACGTTGCTCTCCGAAGCACGGGGGTGAAACACCGCCAACTTCCCAACTCCGGGCTGTTACTGAGACTTACTATACAGAAAGACTTAATAACTAAACTTGGCCCGACCCGGGACTCGAACCCAGGACCTCCGAGTGCGCAGCCGTACATGCTAGCCATTACACCACCGAGGCAGTAATATATAAAAAAATATGTAATGAATATATTAAAAAATCTACATATAATGATTATTAAGGGATGATAAAAATTTGCAAAATTTTGGTGTCTGTCGTAAAGTATTATATAGTATGCCTATTAGTGAATTTATTTCATTACCTTTTAAGTTTTAACTACAAAAATTATGAAAATTGTAATGTAGTGTATAGTTTTAGTTACATAAAAGAATGTTAGATATCTTTTATGTAACTAAAACTATATTACCTTTTACGTGTCTAAATTATTATTAGGTTAAAAGAAAAGAATAATTACATGATAAATATTTTAAAGCAAACCGATCAAAATCAGGATGCTGCAAGATACACTGAAAAGTCAAAGTTTAAAGGTCGAAACAAATGCCAAAAACATTTTTAGTTTTTTGTCATAAGTAACCAATAAATAATAACCAAGTTATTTGAAAATAGATTTTGAAAAATATAAATTAGTGATTTAAAAAGCAATAAGAATGTATTCAGCCCTTTTAACGTCCCACTGCTGGGCACGGGCCTCCCTTCATACGAGGGGGATCAGGCCATAGTCCACCACGCTGGCCAAGTGCGGATTGGCGGACTTCACATGTCTTTCGAAAACTTACAAAGTTTTTCTCAGACATGCAGGTTTCCTCACGATGTTTTCCTTCACCGTAAGGCAAGTGGTAATCATGTTAGAAATGATTCGCACATGAAAATATCAGAGGTGCGAGACCCGGGATTTGAACCCGCTTCACTCGGTTTCCCAAGCGAGCGCGTTACCACTGGGCTACCACTGCCTAAGCACCTTATATACCTTATATTGTATATGCAATAAGAATAAATAAGTAGAAATAAAGAATATCTGTAAATTCTAATTAACGCAGCAATATAATATTTAGTTGTAGGATAATTAATAATATATTTTTAATTATATATTAATAAAATAATAATCTTATGTTTTTTTTTCAGTTCTACTTTTAAATTCATTATATGATAAATAAAAGGTACATTTAACGGTCTATTATACTGTACCTATTAAAATCTATAATATTTATTTAGCAAAATATTATTAATTTAAGGAAAAACGAAACAGCTAAACGAAACTGTCCACTCAGACATCGGTAGATATCAATTTCATTAAAAGCCCCGTCATTATCACCTGAACGATCAGAACAATCGCATCAGGAATATAATGAATTAAATTGCAAAGTAATAACATTACGCGTAGCTCGAATTAAGTGTTAACCGCTTCACCAGTGACATTTAATTTAAAATTATCAGGAAGAGAAGAACTGATTTTTCGTCAGGGCTTTGATTGCGGCTCTACAAGGAGGGTGAGTGCATAGGCGGGTACGGAGTGCGTGGGGAGCCGTCGGCTTGTAGCAAGCCCGTTGCTGTAACGAAACCTTCGCGGCGTTTCTGCACTCCTAGTACTATTTGGCATTGACTCGGGGGAGAGATATCCGACGATCTGTCCGTGAAATATCGTTTACAAAACTTTGAAGCAAAAAGCAAAAATAATGAATGAATGAAAGTTGATGAGATTTGGCTTTTTTTATTTTTGTTTTTATATTTATTTAAAGGGCTTTAGGGATTAATAGGGGCTAGAGATTTATAAAATATTTTAAGATTTGTTGTAATGGTCGTTGCAATTCAATGTAACAAACTTTAAATAGTAAAGTATAAATTAATTAAATTATTACATTATTTATTTATAATTAAGAACATAAAAGTTATCTACGAGATTAACAGTAGCATATGAAACCCTGTTATTTTACACTTTTACATAACTTTTATGTAAGTTTTCAGAGCTTTATTAAGTTCAAAACAAAGCACCAGTGGAGCACAATCAAAGTCGCTTACAATCTAAAGTAGCTGATTCTAACTATCAGTATTTCAATCATCTTCAAGTGGTTACAAATTGAAAGAGAGAGTTGGGACACCAAAACCTGCTTTCTCACATTCCGACGATGAAAGGGAAACCCGCTTTTAATACATTGGGGACCAGCAGAGATAGGATTATATGTCGATTCGTAAGAGCGAATGCGAGGAAGATAGAAATGTAAGGGCGACTTACCTCCTCAGCGTTCCTGATATCCTGGTAACTTGTTACAGGTCGCGTAACGCGAGTAGGAAATCTGAGCGGCGCAACGTGCGAGCTGTTGCGACGGCTCTACAACGCGGACTGCAATTGCAATGCACTTCGCAAGGGGTGGTGCACTCTGTGCAAGCGAGACTGCAGCGCCCGCCCATTTGCCTCGTGCCTCACTTTCCCGCCCTACTGCTCTTGAAAACTTACAACACTTAACAGGTGGCGAGATTGCAATTATTAAACCTCACAATTAGCAGTGCGTTAAGAAATTGCTTTTTCGATAGTCCTCATTGTTTTCCAATCTTTTCAACCAATTTTCAATCGGTTCGCACATGTGAAGTACGGTAAGTACAAATCTTTTGTTTTAATTGTACTGTCTTAATTAGTGAATAGACGTTTGTCTAATACATTAGTAGAGTAGCGAAGCATAATCTAAATAAGATTGACGGGAAGCGGGCTAGAAGTATTGTTTGTTACGGATCGGCGCCGCCTCCGCTCGTCTCCCGGGCGACCGCCCGTCGCAACGCTCTCCACGTGTCTCGACTCCCGGTATTCACCGTAATTTTTCTACAAAGTTCATATGTTAGTAAAGTCATAAGACGCTTACCATTCTTAATTACAAAAGAGAGAAACTATTTTATATATGCTCATAGCACTTGCAAGTTTTGCACAATTAGACTTGATTGTGGACAATATAATTAACATTCACAGTTGACTTTTTATGATAGAAAGAGAGAAAATAATATGATTTCATACATCACTTCTACACGTTAACATATAACAAGTGTACTATGAACTGTTATATAATTAAAAAAAGCCTCTGCCTTTATTAAAGTTTTACTCGGACAATGTAAAAATGCTTTAAAGCATCAGAACTATAAAACAATTAAATTGAAAGAAAATCAGAAAAATACTATATTATTTGAATATTTCATTTAGTGTACAGAAAGGACAAAATAAATTGATAACTGCAAAAGCTTTCGGATAACTTTTTCTATTTTGTTCTATAAAGTACTCTAAACAAATATTATGTTATTTCAAACATTGAGTGGAAAAACCGATACGTTGTAAGTTTACTTTCCAAGTTTGATATTCTTATTGATAATATTATCTACTGTATTATATATATTATTAAGCTAAGGCGGCCATCGCTTTTCTGAAGTCTTTACTACTTACCACGCAGGTACTCGATCTAGTGGGTAGCATTTTTGTTGGTAGATCCTGAGTTCGAGTCCCGGATCGGCCAAGCTTTTCTGTTAAAAAATCCTTAGTAGCAGTCTGAACTTGGGAAGTTAACGGTCGTACACGGTACACTCCCTTTGCCTAATAGTGAATGTAAAGAAATCGGCCTGATGTCTCTCCATTCGTTTTAAATTGTTGTCTCACAGGACTATAAGTGTGCGCTTGTGCACTATCTTTTGCGCATACATACATATGTATGTATATGGCTAATGGCTAGTCTCGGGTCCACCTTCCAGGGTCACCTTCCTGTCCTTAAAAATTTATTAAAAATTATTATTAAAAATGTTAAAACACGTATTTATTTAATTTTATTGAAGAGCATTAATACCAAGTTTCAAGTAATTCTGATAAAAAATATTTTTTTGGATTGTATTATAAAGTATTTTCTCTTTAGGAATTAGCTAAACTTCCGCGGTAAACAGTATAATCCTATGTCACTCTCCAGTTCTCCAACTATCTCCACACAAAAAATCACGCCAATCCGTCACTCCGTTTCGACGTAAAAGAAGGGCAAGTAATCAAACAAACAAACACAATTTTCCATTTATATAGGAGAAGGACCGAATATGGAATACATAAACAAATTCTGAAAAAAACCAGTACAAAAGTTTTATTTTAATCAGTTTAATGGTTTACAATTAAATGCAGTCGTAATTACTCTTGAAAAGTAATAATGAAATCATCAAATAATAAACACTTTCCGTAATATTATTAACTAAAATAAATCAACTAAAAAATTGCTTCTCAAAAATGTGATCCTATTATGGAATACCCTATTCCATAATAGGATCACGTCTCGTTAATCAAAACAAAATAATAAAATCAACCCTGCAAGCAAAAATCACAAATAAAATCTGCATGTTCTGATCCGGACCACGCAACGTGACACCACTGTCTAAAGGCAATGCACCGAATCCACTCTTCTCCCTTTTTGTCTTAAAAACAGAGCAATAAATGCACCCAGCGTCAGCATTTGGATCGTACAGTTGAGTAACTGCGGGCTTATCGTCACTATAATCATTAGATAAAGATGGTATTTCTATCAGAAGATGATTCAGACTTCAACACTGGTTTCTACATTCGCTTGTTTTTCTGACTTATATGTTGTTATATGAAAGACATGTGCAGCTCTCTTATAACCCATTGTTTGGGTTTTCACCGCTTCAATAGCATTTTCCATATTGGTTTTGTTTCAGGCTTTTCGGTTTTTTACTGGCGGATCCATGTTGATCATGAATATATTTGTAAAAGAGAGAAATAGTAATAAGTTACCACATTAAAAACTTACTTACGTTGAGATCCTAGTATTCCATATTAGGAACTCGACGATATTCCATATTACGAACAATATGATGGCGAGACGAAAAAAAATTTAACTTTTTTTATTATTAAATATTCATAAAATAACAATACCATTTAAAAACTACATACTTCGATTAGATACTCACCAACTTATATCGAAATATTCATGTAAGAATAATAAGAGAACATATACGTAAAGCTTACGTAAATATCCAATGGATATTTCGTCAACAGTGTCGCGCACTCTTACTCGCATCTAGTGCTGCCAAAAGCCATACTCCCTCTGGCCGTCGAACGCGGGTAGCGAGAGGGATACTATGACATACGTCTAGAATATTCGTGGCGCTTAGTTTTAGAAATATTATGGTGTTCCATATTAGGAACGTATTCCATAATTGGTACTTTTCCTATAATATTAGTATGAATTTATTATTATAACATAAAAATTATAATATTATATCATAAAAATCAAATTTCTAACGTTAATGAGACTTAAATATATCTACTCTTTTATACATGTATTTTTTTATATTTTTAGGGAAAATTCTACTTAGGCGATTTCCGATAAATGATTTTTAACCTTTTTACCTTAAGAAAAACAGACATTAACGTTGTTTACTTACGACGTATATTGACGATTTTGCTTCTTAGAAAGTCTAATTATTTAATCCAATTAACGTAACTGAAAATGAACAAGAAAAACAAATAAAAAATAATTAACAATCGCTAATCATCTTTTAATAAGATACCTGTTTTATATTCTTGTTGTCAAGTTAAATTATGTACCGAAGGAAACTAAATATAGCGTAACATATTTCACACGTTCTCATACTTACGACATACTTCGTTTTCATAAAGGGAATCGACGGCGCGTAAACCATAGATATCCATGGGAATAAACTTATACAAAGTGCACTGGCTTGATGAGGTGCTGTTACCTATAAAATAAATTACTTTTTCTTATTAATGTTAGAGGTTAATATTATAATTGACTGGCCTATATCCTACTAATATTATAAATGCAAAAGTTTGTAAGGATGTATGGATGTCTGGATGTCTAGATGTACAGATGTACGGATGTTTGTTACTCTTTCACGCAAAAACTAAATCGATTTTAATGAAACTTTACAATAATATAGCTCATACATTAGAATAACACATATGTTACTCTTTATCCCGGAAAAATTTACGGTTCCCGTGGGATAGATTTGTTATTGTTGTTCTAGAGATGGACCCGAGCGAAGCGAGGGTGAGCCGCTAGTTTAGTTATAATTTAATCCTCAGGTCAATATGACTTTTAAATAAATTAAATGACAAGTTACTAGGAAAGTCGGTCACATAAAGTCTTGGTGAACTGTCAATTCGTTTCACTTTATCAACAGAATAATTATTAAAGTTCTACTTTAATTGATATCGATAATAATTTACTGGGAGAGACAGAACAAAGGCACCAACATATCTATAAAGCACATTTCATTTGTATTGTTTTATACATTTTATTATAAAAAGCCATAATGGATTGTTCTACGCACACTGGTTGTAGAGCACCAGTTGTTTTCTTCTTTCTCTTAGCATGTCAGAAAGAGGAATTTATAGCCTACAGTTTTGGCAACTCTGTTACTCCAAGCATTTGATGGCAGAGATTTAAGACTTACCTACAGTTCTTATGTTGATTATCTCGCCATTAAACCAACGAGATTCTAATAAAATTGTTTTCAAATTGGACGAAGGTATTATATTAATTATATTTTGTCATAAGTTGTTTGTATTTTGTGAATTTATTAAGTTTTCTATTCATTCTTTTAATTGAAAATTTTGAAATTATTGCTTTATTATTTTTAACATAAAATCCATCCTAACCCAATAGAAATAATGTTATTTGCCAAATTTAAATTATTTAAAAAGTGACCACGAAGTATAATTTTTTATAATTAAATTGCTGTAAATCGATAACATAACTAATAATAATATAAGAGAGTGTGAATTGAGAAAAGTTATTAAAAAAATAAGAAAAGTTATTAGAAGAAGAATGTTAAAATTTAAATCTCTTTCAAGAAAAAATATCATATTGGTGGAAGAAGATATCTCCCCGAGATTTTTTAATATTTTGTACATTATATCTTGAAAGGAAGATGTGCGAGAATGCACTCGTAAATGATATAAAAACTTTTACATAATATTAAATCGTTCAACTTTTTTTTATTTGTGAAAATAGTTGCTATACATACAAGTCAGTAGAATTAAATACAGGTATGTATATGCATAACAAAGCTGCATTTCTCTCGCATTACAAAGAAGTTTCTTCAGAAACTAGTGAAGCAGGTATTTTCTGCAACATTTTGCAAGAGTTTATAGTACCTAATATCAATTTCTCTTCATTGGGTTGTATGTTTAATGATATTTACATTATCCTTAGTACTTTCGATATAGGAATATGTTTTATATGTATTTATATTGTGTAATTTTTATAATTATGCAAGGGAAACTCCTTATCATTACATATTTAATTATCATTTTTGGTAGTCGTTAACCCTTCGGCTGAATGCCAACTGGACTCGAGCTTCTGAGCGGTGCTCAAGTAGGTACAGATAAATTAAAAGATTATTGTAATAAAATATATGCATATTCTCTTAAATGCGACATGAATCTTCGCATAGAAATAAAATAAG